ATTAGAAAAGTTTATGAAGTATTAAATTGATAAAACAGCAATAAGAATGTTTTTTTTTTTTAGCTGTTTAAGGGGGTCTGGGACACCAAAACACAACATTGGGTTTAAAATCCACGAGAGGGATCTTAACCCCAATGTAGTATAGTAACTTCAAAGTGTTTACTTATTATTCAGCTGGTGTAAATCACTCTGGGTAAGGTGCAAACCGCAGTGTAATGCTGAGTCAGTGCTTCTCTGTGCATTTACAGTTATTGACTTAGTGGAAGTCAGTGCTGAGGAGGGACTGCCAACTTAATGTCGTTTTAAACACAGACACAAGGTCAGTGGGAGAGAGAGGATTGCAGAGTGGGAGGACAGCCAAAAATATTACTCTTGTTGCTCCTTTATTCCCTCCGTCCCTCTATCCTTTTCTCTTTCACCCAGTCCCTACAGCATAGCTTATTGTATAGACTCTGCATTAACCTCTGCAGGTCAGCTAATGTGTGTGTGTGGCTCTCTCTTAAGCTTCTTAGAGGCTGAGTTTTCCTTTCAGATTAGATTAGTTTGTAAATCAGGTTTCATCAGCCTCGAGATAAAGGTGTATTCTTAATTTCAGTAAGTAGCCGAGGAGCCAGGGAGACGGGCTGTGCCTCGTCAGCTTGAACACATTTAAGTAATTTAAGAGGAAGGCTGCAGTAGTGTGTGTTCCGTCTGCCAGCAGAGTTACGTAACATCTCCCTTGATGGATATTTATGTATGTGTGTTAAACAAAGCTAGAATACTTAAGAGTTGCTACATTTTTGATGGCCAGTTTGTGTCCCTTAGACTGATGTGAACCAAATAAGTATGTGTGTGTGTGTGTGTGTGTGTGTGTGTGTGTGTGTGTGTGTGTGTGTGTGTGTGTGTGTGTGTGTGTGTGTGTGTGTGTGTGTGTGTGTGTGTGTGTGTGTGTGTGTGTGTGTGTGTGTGTGTGTGTGTGTGTGTGTGTGTGTGTGTGTGTGTGTGTGTGTGTGTGTGTGTTTTCAGGGTGCGTAAGGACAACCTGACCAGCTGTAACAGTGGTGTGAACATGGAGGATGTGGACTGCGGTGCTGGTGGTTCTTCATCGCTGAGCAACAACCGGCCGTCCTCCGTCGCGTCCAACAGCCTGAGCCTCTACCAGCACAGAGCCAGGACCACACACAGCCGCAGGCACCACAACGCAGGTACACACGCACACACACACACACACAACACAGACACACACACACACACACACACACACACACACACACACACACACACACACACACACACACACACACACACACACACACACACACACACACACACACACACACAAAATCTCTATTGACTGCATTTAATACACCAACCAGAACCTTCAAACCATAACCCTAAAATGTGTTCACAAATCTGTCAGCACCAAAAAAACATTTGCATCGAACAGTCCATGTTTATGGTGACTTTGAAACAGGGACTACAAAAGTAGCCTTGTGGCAAACTCTTTTACGGCAATGTGCATTAATGTGAAGTGTCCCTGGAATAAATAAGTCAACCTTAAAAAATAAACTGCATATGTTTGCAGTAGATATTGTGTAATAAATACAATGAACAATAATTACTTTTACATCTAGTGCATTGAAGTTAAACAGCGATCTGATTTAATGTTATTTTGTATTACAAAGTATTAAAAAGTACATGATTCATCAGACTTATCACAAATAAAACATCTTGACAAACATTCTTGTTTTAGATTATAAAGTTTTTGTGTGTGTGTGTGTGTGTGTTCCTGCAGCTAGGAGAGAGTACCGCAGTCGGTCGGTGCAGCCTCAGAGTCAGCGCCCCCCCGTCACCAGCCAATCAGGGCCCATCCTGGACTCAGGCTCCACCCACGGCCTCGTCCAGCGTCTGTCCAACAGTCAGCTGTCCTTCAACACTTCCATAGCCTCTATATTCTCACAGGTATTCGCCCACAAACACACACTCTGAAGCATGCATCCTCTAATAGGAGTATAAAACAATAAGAGGATGTTTCTCTCTCTTCAGGTCCCCCGTCTCTCAGGAGCCGGTGGGATCAACTCGCAAATCCAGGCAGCGCAGCATCAGCAGCGCAGCAGCCAGGTTAACGCTAGTTACACTTCTATACATCCACACCTTCTGTTGACAAACACACGAGAACAGATGAAGATATACATTTTTTTTAACTCACTTGGAAATGATACACTTGCAGTTTACCCAAATCATGATAAAGGGTAATGAAAACCCTGTATGAAACATGTTTAAATGAAAGAATACTGTATTTTAGACTTAACATACACAGTTCCTCTTACAAATGGTTGCTTATCCTATAACTCTAAATATAATGTTTGTCTGAGAAGTGTAATTACTATATTGTACACATTATGAAAGATAGAAATAAAGGGAGTCTAATACTGTAATCTAAGAGGTCAGAAAATTGCTTCAACTTGCAATAGGAACATGTATACCCCCTCCATTCAAACTGAAATGTTTCCATGACAGGATTCTCATGCCACACCAGCTTTCTGTATTTTAAGTGTTGAGTGTTATGTTGAGCAGTAAACCCCCTGAATTACACTGCATATTGTTTGTGCAAATGTTAAATTGTTTATGTAATTATCATTGCATACTTGAAGCAACATTCAGCGTTTTATCTCTCTCATTATAACACAATCTTATCTAGGAAACATTTCACACCTTCTGGCTAAAGCGTGTGGTTATAGTGTAATATTGACTTAAAGTTATTCTCAGTTACAGATCATTGTTGTGCATGAGCATATTTGTGTTTTCTACTCTAATCTTAGTGTTTACTGTACACACCTATGTCTTCCCAGGTCTCCTCGTCTTCGTCCACTCTCAGCTTGCTGTTTGGGAAGCGTAGTTTCTCCAGCGGCCTGGTGATCTCCGGGCTGTCCGCTGCTGAGGGGGGGAACACCACGGACACGCAGTCCTCGTCCAGCGTCAACATCGCCATGGGCCCCTCGCACAGGTCCGGCAGCAGAGCCACGCAGGTAGGGAAAATCAACAGGTGCATGTAAAGGTCCTAATGCAAAATGTAGTCCCCTCATTACAGCATTCACTCGGGCAAGCTGGAATATATACAGAACAATATGTAGCTTCATATTTAGCAAAATTCAGAGAGTGGTATTGATGGTCCGGGGAGCGTATTTGCCAAAAAGGTCAAACTTTGCCGAAGTATTCAAATATAATGGGCAGATCAACACGCATTTTGCAAATTGGAGGAACCCTCTGGACAACATTTGCATTTCTAAGCAACTTTCTGGTAAAATGTTCCACGAACGTCAACAATGACTGTATTCCCTAACTTGAATTTGAATTGGCGATGTAATCAATGTTGCAGCCTCTGGGAGACACTAGTGATGCTTCTTTATTTAAAGTCATGTCACATGGGAACTTACATCATTTAAAAGTGCCGGTTAAATTCAGGAATGTGTGTTTTGAAATCCAGTCAAAATAGGCAAAATAATTGTATCAAAACATAGATAGAATATTTCTTGTAGGGTGGGAAAATACAATTCCTTCTTGCTAATTTGACTTTAGACACAGATGTTGTGATTACAGAACAGGCGATAAACAAATGAAATGTAAATAATGCTTCTGTTCCTTGCTTCCTCATTTTCTCCTCTCTCAGTGGACATCAGAGCCATATGAAAGTATCGACGCGAGCTACTCCAACACAGCTGTCACAGTGAAAGACGGCGAGCAGTCAGCTGAGCGAGGCTGCAGCCAGGAGTTAGACGAGACCCAGGAGGACTCCAAATCTGCTTCAACAGCTCCGGAGGCCACGGATCAAAAGACTGTCTGAAAGAGAGACTACACACACACATTCTCGTGCCCATATACAAAGAGGACTGTAGGAAAAAGTTACACATATCCACAAACACATACAGAAGATTGTATGACAGAGCACCCATGCACTCGAACATGCCTCCTCTCCTGTCCTCAGCATGTGCTCTCACCTTGTTGTCTGAATGTAAACAAGTCTGAAAAACATGATCCCGGATCCGGTTGATGAAATAAAGACGTTTTTAAATGAGGCTGTAACTCAGGTTTTGTTTAAATGTGTGTTTTAAGATGGGAAGTTATACCTTTGTTAAGAAAAGGCCTTATTGTTGATTATTAGAGTGTGAAATGCATAGTTTACATCCCCATTTCAACTTGAAATCATCCTTCATTTATACAAACCTCTCCAATGCTGTTTCTGGCAATGTCTCTGTTTCCGCTTTTGAAGAAAATCTCTATATAGTTTTTTTTAGGCCAGCATGTGATCCCTGAAACCTTTTGGCCTCGAGTCAGCACTCTGAGCTGCTTACTCTCAACGGAAACACAGTTTGGATCACTTGTGATGAGTAGTTTCCCACTGTGGCTACTGAAACAAAAAAAAACATCATGGAGGAATTTACTAACTATTAAACTCCTAAAGGCCTTCAGAAGCAGGCGCGAAGGTTTGTGCTAGCATTTCAAATTGAACAAGTTAACACACATACAATGGATATTTTATGTGCTGCAAGTTCTTTTCATTTGTTTAAACTTGACTACTTTAATTATAATAATACATTTTATTTATCAAGCGCTTATCAGGTGCTCAAAGACACTTTACAGAGGTAAGAAAAAAACGAGATAAGATAACTAAAATATGGAAAAAAAATATGGACTCATATTTATTAAATCCTGACTATAGCCATACATATGTGATGAAGGGTAATTGAGTCACTAAATGGCCACTATTGTCTACGAAACAAATGTGTGTTGGACAAGAAATACAACGTGTATAATATAATTTAAACACATCAATTCATTTACATATGGTCGGATAAGGAAATGTGATTTATTTTTTGCTGAGAAAGGGGCCTTTGAAATGTGGAAACCTTAATATTTGTGGTGTTGTAAAATTGCACCCTCACAGAACAATGTTTTAAAAAAACTGCATACAGGAACTACATCGCACACCTCCAGTCAAAGAAAGACACAGGCACATTTGGCAAAAATCTATTAAGTATTTATTGTAAGTTGTTACATTTAGATTTCTTTCTCTAGCAGCACTATTTAAATTACAGATATTCAAGGGCAGTTACCATAGATTGGAGTTTTCTCTTAATACAAGATGTCATCATGTAAAGAAAGACAGAGACTGAACCTCAAAATGAACCACAACTGAACACGCTGGTCATGTGACTCGTGTGAAGATAAAGGTGAATAAACAACACTTTCTGTGAACTGAAAGAAAACATGACTGAAATAAACCTGCTGTTAAAATAATTTATAAGAATACAAAACATTTTTTAAATAGTTCACAGGTTTTTTGTGACAATTACAATTTCAGTTGGATCGGTTGCTTGTAATCCAGATTTGTCAAAATGCTGTTTACAGAGTCTTGTAAAGGTATGTTAGTTACATGTCCATGAAGTAGATTACATGTGGATGATTCAGAGAAATGACACAAAAACCCACGACAGCAACGTGAAAAGACAGATAACAGAATGTGATTCTTAAGGAACATTTGCAACAGAATATATGATTTCATATTCCAACAATACCTTTGACCCTTTTGCATTATAACAAAAGTTAGATTATAAATTTGGCACATTTTATTTCCTAATACGTATCCTGGGAGAGTTGCATTGATAAGTTTGTCAGGGCAATTTCATCCTTTTTCCTTTTGACTTTACGTAGCTCAACAATTTATTTTAAAAGGATTTTACATTATTTTTGCTTATTTGAGTTAAACGGCACTCTCATGTCAGGAAAAAGGTAATCATCAAAAAAAGGGTGTTTTACAATTTTGCAACTTTTGGAAATGCTAACCAGCCAAAATAATAATAATAATAATAAAAAAAGGCATATTTATGTATTGAACTGGTGACAGGGTTGCACTCCAAAATCTCCTTGTATATTTTTGTACAATGACAATAAAGGCTTTCTATTCATGCAGAGGATTGCCAACACCAACATGATTAAATGTTTCTCACAATGTACAAATTCCCAAATGCTCAGTTGTGTTAAATCTGTTCAATCCTGTTAGACTCTACAACAGAAGATGGTGTTCAATCGAGGTTGGACTAATAACACAGGAATGTATTTTCTTTGCTACAGTGAAGAGATTCCTGCATATCGGGGCGTTCCAGACAGCGACTTCTGTTCAAGGATTGATTTACTTTTGAAAAAACTCAAAATGATGAAAACCCATCATATCCTTGGCAACATCTGTTAAACTCTTCAGCTTACTGGCTGCTGTTCGAAGCTCCAGCATCATTTTTTTTCACCTAAACATTTTACATCTGAAGCCTTGAGGTCACATTTGCGTTGTGTGGCAAGATGATACATTAACTCTGCATTTTGTTGACCATTAGTGCACAAGGAAAACATCTTCCTTCATGTGAAATAAACTCAGTCATCATCACATTTTTTAAGCTTCCAGTGGACAATAGTAAAAGTGAAGCTGGCTGCACTTTAACTGTCCAGGTAAAATTACTCTGTGAGTCATGCATGTGGAAATAACCAACCATAGTGTATATTTGTTAATACAGAGGGGGTCATTTAGTCATTCTGGCAATTCACGAGACACTCGAACAAGAATTAGGAACCCATAACCGTCAATATTAGTGAAACATACTAGAAGGAAAATATGAACCTCTCAAGAGAGTTTCTGATATTTTTAATGTCTGCATACTGCAGTACTTGAATACATACTCATACAGTATCGTTTATAGCAAATAACTGAATTATTTCATTTATTTAGCAAAAAGCATGCTGAATAGAAAAATGTCACTTGTATTTTATCGCGTAAAGTGACAGTAAAATTCTTTTTATTTTCACCTGCGGATCATCTCTTAACGACTGTGATCTATCTACAAAGGCATGACAAAAACCAGGAGGTTTAGGCATCTAAATCAATAAAGAGAAAAGTGATTGCCTAAAACTGTTGAAACTTCAACCAGGTACCTGCACAAATATAAACTCTTCCTTCAAGTAGCACAAACACCTCTCGAAGAGGTACAAAAGAGACAATATGAGGGTGTCAGTAGGAGGAATAAACATTGGTGTTATATTTGCTGTAAAACAGGACCATCTCACTTTAACTGCTATTTTATTTGAGAGACAGAAAGAGATCTTGAGGTCTGTTGTGAAGCGTAAAGAGGCACCAAATCACGTTTCTAACCACCATCAGTCGATAAACCTGTCTCTGTTCAGTCATGATGCACTGTGAGTACTTAAGGAGAAAAATCTATACATCAACCCTCCTATTGTCATTTCCACGGAGCTAAATCTTCTGTACAAATAAGAGTTAAAAAATAAATTATCAGACCTAAATCAACCCTCAACTCGAAGCTTAAAGTGAACGGTCTTAGAAGTAACATAGTATTGACTTTTCTTACACCTTGCATTAGGGGAGTATTAAAAAAACAGAAAGCCCACTTCTGCTGATGTGTCCTAAATCAATGCTACTGTATTAGCACAGTGATAGTCTGACTGGATGTGGCTACATAAAGAATAACAAGATGAAGGATTGTAGAGTAACTTCCTGCTGTTTGCTGACGACATGGTGCTGCACACTTTGAATTATTAACTCACACTAACATCTGTGCAGGCTCCACTGACGCACAACAAAAAGATTATTACCATCAAATGTTTATCATTTCATATAACATGGATTTTCTTTTTTATTAACGGATTACTGGATAAAGAATGTGACTTAATATGGACAGTGTCCATGCTCAAATTCAGCCGTTCAAAGAGAGACTATGCAACTTTTCAACAAAAATAACAAAAGCGTATGTAGTCCTAATGAAAAGTTTAATTAATGAGCAGTAAACTCAACATTTTCTCATTTTGATCAGCTCAAACATTTTGGCGTTGCAGCTTTACTTAGATTGAGTGTAGCCACGAGCGGCTAATCTTAGCTAATGCTAGCAATATTTTCCTAGATCTCACCCTTTTATTGATATTACAGTCAGTTGCTGACTTTATGACTTGTCTCTATTTCTGACACAATGTTTTGGCTTCCACCCATTTACTGTCATCAGTGGCATCTATAGCTTCAGTTAAGCAAAAGATACATAGTCTTGCTTTAAAATTGACCAAATGTTACACTGAAAAATGAAAAAGACATAATTCTGGGCAACCCGACTAACTTATCACCTCACAGGCTCAGGGCTGGAATAAAGTACTTGTCACAGAACGTCATGATGTGGTTTCTCCTTAGATAAATAAACGTGTTTCCCCTCAGTTAGGGAATACTGCAAAGGGTCAGCCACTGGTTTTGTATCCTGTTGTAGTCAAGAGAGTTAGTGAGTAAACTCTTCTGTCAGTCGTCATTTTACCAAGACTCCAGCACACAGCCACATGTCAGACAACACATTTATTTGTTTTCAGCAAGGTTTCTTTTTTATCATCACGAAGGCATATACTATTTTCTCTGTATATTAATTGTTATATATACAGTATATCTATATATATAGATATATAATATTTATATAGAAACAAAAGAAAGCGTACATTTTTGCTGAATAAGATTGAAGAATATCAGCAAAGGGCATTGTAAACCATGGTCCATCAAACAGGTGAAAGGTGCGGTAGCTCGCCCTTTCCCAACTCACCCACAGTAACAGATTTGCATAGGCAAAAATGGGATTAGCCCTTAGACAGTGGATTCCTGAATTCTTTATAGAGATGCAAAATCTAGTTCAGCTCAACACAATTAAAAACAAACATACAAACAAACAAAGAAATAATGTCGACTAGGCCAAGCTCTCTTTAACCCCTCTGGTCATATACATAGTCATTTTTCTGTGCACATTTTTGTTTACAGTGTTAGGCTTCAAGTAGATCTAAAAACAACTTGTACATTGACAACTAGATGTGAAATAAATTAACCAACATGAGAGGTAGTGAAAAGCCTACGGAGACGCTTGTTGTTTTTTTTATACAAAGGAAAAAGAATAAAACGTGTCAGTAAGGCCAAAGCTTCGCAAACCTCCTCCAACCAATCAGGACACTTCAGCTCACAACCTTTTTTTTTTGTAGTCGATAAAACCACAGCCACGTTTCAAAATCCCACTCACTTAAACCCATGGAAAGTCAAAGACACAAATCTAAAGTCAGCGATGACACTACATCACTTCACATCATCATCATTGCTTGTAAAATCTACATTTGAAATGCAGTTATTCAAAATAAACAACCGTGTACTTTTCCCCACTGTGTAAAAGTCACAATAAATGATGAGGAAAGGACGTGAGGCTCTGCTGCGTCTGTCCTCCCTGTAAACCCTGTAAAGTGCTAATGGAGTTAGCACTAGGCAGAGACTGGCTCTCTGCTCACACTGAGGACAGTTGGCTCGCCGCGGTTATTCAATAAGGTACACACATCTCACTATTTATAAATGTAAACTTGGTTTAATTGCACCACGATTTCATTATCTGGTTGTTGGTGAAACATTCTCATGTTAAATTACTGTGTAGTCAGCAACAAGGAGACGTAGCTGTACTGTGCAGAAGAAGACATTTTCTGCTTTTTATGAGTTACAGGCATTCTTCTATTCAGTCAAAAAGTGATAGAGTTGTCCAAATGCAACGTCTAAAGTGTGATTACTGATCCCTCAGTATCAGATTTGGCTAGTTACTCTGAATTCTTATGGATCTGATAAAGTCGGTGTAAGCATGCAGAGCTCTTCATTATAGCCGCCAAGCAATATCAATCAAGGTAGTAATGTATTGCCCATAGCATCGTTTCAATAAGGAACATTGTAAAAATGTTTGGTGATTATTAGTTTAGACTCGACTTCTTGACTTTAAAGTGTCAGTTTTACCGATTTAAAATCAATATTTGACAACAAAACACTTATATTGTCACTTTTATTTGACTTGGCAGATTCATCTAGTTAGCATTTTCAACACTGCAAATGTAAATAAGGGTTGAGGAAAACTCAACTATGGATAATCTTTTCTAGCAGAGGACCTGCAAGATAAAATAAATTATTTCTTACAATATTTTATTTAAATCCTCTAGTTAAACTGGCAAATGTTAATTGAATACGGCAAGATTTTTGAATAATCCAACAGTGGCCTTAAACATTTTGAGTATCCTAACAGGTGTCATGGTTAGTCATTTATAAGATAAACCTTTCAAAATGTATCTAACACAATTGCACTTCATTAGTCTGTGGACATCCTGCACCGTCTACTCTTTAATTTGATCTAGACCAAACTTGGCACATGGACTTCAGGTAGTTAAAAGAGGTGGCAACATGGACGCCTAGATTTATCAATGAGGAGTGGCACTGTTTTAATTGACACTTTAAGACTGCACTAACCACCTAACCAAGAGGTCAGCTATCCATCATGTAACACAATGAATATACTCGGAGGCCGGGTTCATTAAACAAAATAGCATATACTGCACTCATGCACTTTCTACTGCACATCCACAGGCCAGGAGCAAGGTTCAAATGTTCACACCATCTAAAAAAACAAAATGTCCTTTTATATACTAAAAATGTTAATGGGACATTTGGCAAGACCCTCTTAAAGTTATTTTTTTTCCTACATTTTCCTGTTAAGTGTGTAACTACACCATACACACACATAGCCATTATCATCGCATGCTGTGAAAGTCAGATTAGAAAAACAAACCAGAGTGTGTGAGGGCTGGCAGTTGGCTGGAGGGTTATCATTGGCTAGCACAAGCATGCTGACTGCTTGCCTAAAGCATGCTAACACCTAGTTAGCCTTTTTTTCGAGAAGGCTAGCATGTAGCATGACTACGCAAACGTCTTCGCTAGCCCGGCACGGTAGCTTGTTAGCATTATACCAACCCTCTTCACTAGCTCTGGAAAAAAGGAGTGTCTTGAATGGGTGGTAGCTAACTGAAGGACAACCATACATTCTCCCAGCTCAATCTGCAGGAGACACCGACATGCACCAGAAATACAGAGAGTCTCAACCTGGTGACCTCGTCACATCTGATATCACAGCATCTTTAAAATCATGTTTGGCACCCGGGTTACGTATCTGCAGCGTGAAACTGGACAACAAACTGCAGAGACTGCCATGTAACCTACAGCATCTAAAGGTAAAGCCTTACAGTCAAAGGCCAGGGCTCCAAAACCCTATCAGTTGGATCAGTGCCTGCTGCATCTGCGTATGTCCTCCAACCAGTTTTTCCTAATTAAAACACTAAAAGGTAAACCCTATTTATCTGCGCAAAAATGTCAAGATGTATCTGCAGTCAATGTGGGTCTGTTTCAATTCTCTCCAGCGGTGGTTTCTTCCCCCCCGTTGGGCACCTTGCCAGGCTGTGATGGTCAGAGTCGGAGGGAAAAAGATGGGAGGTAGGGATCGTTGGACAAACTGTGGTTGCTTTCCAGAAAAACTCCAGCAGCGCCTGTGCTGCCTTTTCTTACATGTAAAGGCATTGTGATTTTCTCGGTGGAGAGATTTTTTGTCTAAAGTTAACGAGTTATAATAATACATGTAGCTGCCCAACCACAATTCTAGCCCTTACTTCTCCCAGTTAAAGAATCCTAAAGAAGGAAAGTGCTTGGACGGACGGACGGACGGATGGACAGTGGGATGGACGGGTAGGTGCTGCTGCCTTTACTGCAGAAGCCATCAAATCTGCTCAATAAAAAAAACTGCAGTATGCTTCAAATTGGCAGAAGTGTACTTTTTCCCTTCACCGAATAAAGACACCCAGACAACGAGACAGGACCCCTGTCTAAATACATCTCAATATTCAAAAATAGTTGCAGTCCGCGGCTTACATCGTCAAGCTACTGTAGAGAGAGAGAGAGTTACATGCAGAGCCAGTGCTTCAATTGGTTAAACGGGCAGAGACACCCCGACTCCCACCAACTACTAAGTGTCATGTTTGGACAGTGAAGAAATAAAACTTTTTACACATCGGAGGAATGTGACAGAGATAGAAAAACAAAACAATATGACAGAATGAGTTTGAGAGAGAGAGTATTAAAGTGAGGATAGAAAGCATGAGGTCTAGATATTACAGTACAGGAACAGTTGGCGTGTCCTTTTCGTCTCTCTCTCTCTTTCTGTCCCCACCGCCTGAGGAGTCCTTGTCCACAGTTAACCAGCAGCTGGCCGTCAAGTTGGCCATTTCAACCGACAGCTGACAAGTGGGTTGGCCAGTAACAAACAGCACAAATCGCTAGCAAAACAATCACTGGCCAGCATTCATGGCCTTAAATTGACCAAAAACCAACCAGCAAAGCCCGACCTCGCTCCAGCGGAGAACTGGATATAAATTGCTTAAAAAATATAAATAAAAAAACAACCAGCTATCTTGGATGTCGTTCAGTCTTTTCAATCAAAAAAGAGGGAGAGATTTTTCCAAACCCGACTTCTGGCACCATAGTAGTATTTGAAATTTAAGTAGTAGTCTCGTTGGCGTACGATGGCGATGAGGGAGGGTCGAGGGGGTCTAGGTCTCCAGGCAGGTGCGCCTCTTGTTGGCCAGGAGGTCTCTGTAAACGGAGGAGTTGAGGAAACGGGGGAAGGAGTCGCGGTGCATCAGGGTGTAGATCTGGAACTGGGCCTCCTCGTACATCAGGTTGCTGGGCTCTGCCAGGGTCAGATTGATTCCTTCTCTGACCCGCGAGTCCAGACTCACCTGAGGAAGACAGATGATACAGGCTCAAAATGACTATGCTAAGACACTCTGATCAACAATGGTTTACCACTTTCAACATCTTCGTATAGCGTGTTGGCATGCTAACATTCAGTTTTGCTAACATTTAAATAGGATTAAAGCAAAAAAACAAAACAAGGTTAATGGGAATACTTTGAGTTTTAGTGAGCACCAGGAAAAGCGCTATATAAATCACATGTATTATTATTATTATTATTATTATAAACCAAAGTATTTTGACAATTTGACACATTTTCATGATAAAGGCACAACATAGAAGGTTAGTGAGAGGCATCTTCTAGAAAATGAATGTCCAAATGTAACCAATTTCATAACAAAAATGGATTTATGGGGTGGACTGACTGAAAAACAAACCAGCTTTACCATCACTAGAGCCATTTTTCTAACGTATGATTACAGCTTACATTTGCTGATCCAACACAAATACATCCGGTACCTCTTTGGGTGATAATATGGACACGTAGTCTTCATATATGATCCTGGACTTCTCCTCCACCACTGAGGGATCCGTCTCCTTCCTCAGCTCTTCACAGGCCAACCAGAACAGCAGATTGTCCTCGCTGTACTCCGAGCGCAGGAACTCCCTGAAGACCTCCCGGCCCCCCAGCGAGCGCAGCATCAGCTCAAAGCTCCGAGCCCACGACAGCGCCTCGTCTAGAGTGGGTTGTCTACAGACGGAAAAATTAGGACATGCATTTGTGAAAGATTACGAAACAATCGCACCACACAAAAGATTTGAGGGTTTGCTGGACTTACTGTTCTTCTGCCTCGATACTATCCATCTTGGTGCAGGTCTCTCGCTCACTCCTCTCAATCCTGTCCTCGGTCCTGGAAACAAGAATCACAAGAAATGATTAGCTCAGCAAAACAAAAGTCTGGACACGATTGAAAATGGATGAGGTATTACTGTATCATTTGATTTAAATTTGCAGACAGTCTCACTTAGATCAGGATTTCTCCCATTTAAGTTACATATTTTACAAGTTGTTGGCTATATTATTATAGAAACAATGTGTTAAAAACAGGTTAAATATTTCATTTCTAAAAGGTCCAAAGTGATATTTAACAATCACCATGTAAATAATAAGCATTCAATAACCTTAGTACCACCCAAGGAAAAATAACGAAACACCATTTCCAAACAACTTAATTTCTGTCTCACTGGGGATATCCAGAACCGATCGACAGTTCAGTATCAAAGCTCATTTATCTTGATTATAGTCCACATCGACTCTCAAAATACCTAAATGCATGAATAGTTTTACAATTGAATTCAGAACATCAGTAGCAGGTGAACCACAGGGCAGAACGAGCAAATAAATGTCCGCCACAAGTTTCAATTAACTTTATTTACACTGACAGCATGCACCAGTGACTGTCAGCAAGCACGGCTGCTCTGGGTTAATAAACGTTATTTGTCCAAACCTTCCAACCACTAAGCTACATTTGTGAAACAGTACAAAAGGACATGATGAAATTGTGTGTTTATTTTCAGGACGAAGGTAAAAACTCAAGAGGCATCGCATTATTTGTCGTGCTCAGCATTCACCTACTTAACAAGCTCTGATCACATGGTGTGAATTTGGCAGGTTCTTAAACTGATTTCCAATGGTTTTTTTACAATTTTTTTTTTAGGATTTTTTTCCTGTTATGCTTTATTATGTGATGTCACGAATGGTGGTTGATGATCTTTTGATACACTGTTATGCTCTTTGTGCACAGCAAATTCCACTGGGGGAAATAAAAGTTTGATTCATTCAAATATAGGATCAGCAGATAAAAGATGACCTCATACTGTATAATCCCAACAAGGATCAGGATCCAGAGATGGATGGAATCTTTGTAACACATAAAAACAAGTAAATCTCTCTAAAATAGAACAACCACCCTACAGTATGCAGACTGAAATAGGGGGCTAAGGTCCAGCAATATTCAGCCCCTAATGCACTAATCTCTCAGATCAGAAAACTTCAGAACCCTAAACTTAATTTTTATTTAAGTGATCACTTAATCAAACATTTGATCGCTGGAAAATAAGTCCGAACCAATTTTTATAATCAATACATTTTTCAAGTACTTTTCAAGCAAAGAAACAAATATCAACTCGTGAAAGCCTCTCACATTGCCTGCATTTGTTATTTGTCATAGTCATCTGAATATCTCTGGGTTTGGTGTTGGACTCGTGTCGGACAAAACAATCAATTTGAGGACATCAGGTTGGTCTATTGGAAATTGTAATAGTAATTATTTACAATTTCCTGACAAATAAATGCCTAAATAAGGAATTACTAATTAAAATGTGGTGAGTAGATAAAAAAAATTATTAATATTTGCATCACTTCAGTTGTACAAAACTTGTTGAAAGTCCATAAAACAATAAAGCTACTGTACAGTGCAAACCTTTATGTAAACACTTGAAACACACAGGGTAGCCTCGCTGTCTGTCGTAGCTCGGTCACACATGCTGAGTCCACAAAGCAACACACACTGAGATGTCTATTTATGTCCCACCACGGAGGATCTTTCCTTCCTCTTGCTGTCTCTTGTCAAAGTCCCCATTGTGCGGCGGTAATGGGCTAAGCTAGCCACAGCCCCGGGCGCCCTCACGATACAGCTAAATATACAGGCTGTTCTTCACAGCTGTTTTGCATGTGATGTGGTGATGGAAATAGAAGGAACCCCAGCTAGATAAGGGCCTTGTGTGAGGACAGATGAGGAGTGGTTAGAAAGTAGAGAGAAAAAAGAATAAATAAAAAACGAAATGTAACACTATGTCGTGACCCATTAACACTTTCCTAGTCCCTCGTTCCCTAAAACTTAACCAAAAAGGCAGATGACTGAGGCCCCGGCTCCAAGGGAACGCATACGGCAAAACGCATCGGAGTAACGCAAATGCAACCGCAAAAAACCTTCCGCCCACACGCAATATACACCGGATTGTGTCAAGCTCCACGAGACGGCTCCGTTTAAATCCAAACGCTGGAAAAGCTGCAGTACATATGCCGAACCTGTACGTGGCGCTGTAACTTCCTCCACAAAAGCAGCAACTTCCTCCACAAAAGCAGCGAAGAAGAATGGTTGTCATGGCTGCACTTCTGTTTATTCTCCGCAGTGGGGGCGGAGGGAACCGCGCAGAGTTTTTCGCCGGTCAATGTGTGTTAAAGTTTAAATCTTCATGCTTCCTCATGCAGCAGCTGATCCAGTAAGTAAACCCGACAGTAAAAATAAACATATTTATAACTAGTTTAGGTAGTTTGAGAGGTAATTAAAATAGCTAAGGGTGGTGATCTGACTTGAAGTGTGTGTTTTGCTCCCGCTGCTTCACAGCCGGAGGAGCTGCGTGTCTCCGTCCTGTCAGATTAGACTTCACTCGCGTTTATGTTCATATCGAGATAAAGATAAATAATCTGAATTCAGTGTGCAGTGTACTTTTGCGGGGGTGAGCAGCAGAGGTGGGGAGAGGCGGGGCTATGAAACGCATGACCGTATAGGCGACCCCACGGCCCCGTTGGACCCCCCAGAGCGCTCCGTACCCAGATCTATCCACCTTTGGACCCGTTGTCGTTTGCGGGGTCTGTTTCTACGTTTCTGTTACAGCGTCGTCGAGCTTAAAGGGCTATACGCATGAGAAATATGCGGATTCAACACGTTTTCGTCCTCGTGGAGCCTACGCCTCACACAAATAAATCCACTGTGGTAGTAAAAAGAGAGCATTCAGTAATTAACAGCCATAATGCTAAAATAAATAAACATATTCTGTACTGAAGTAACATTTCCAGGCTCATTCTGGATATGTGACACCAGCGTTTGATTGAGAAACACACAGCGCCTTCACTGCAGGCCCACAAGCTGCCACCACTTCAGATGGAGTGGTGTGAAAGAAGCAGCACATTCACCATTCACTGCCTGAACACAATGTTTCATTCACTGCTCTCTCCTGGCAAGAGTGCAGCGGCGGAGATACACTGCAGCTACTGGACTCAGTGCCTTGCTCAGAGGCAGTTGGTACAGGTTGGCAATCTGGAAGTATGAGGTTTAAAAATGTAAGGCTGGAACAATGTCCATTATTATTTATCTAGCAACAGATAGTGGATTTGTTTACTCCATATTTAAGTGATAGAAATCCTAATTTTGATAACTTTGATTTTGTTTATTTAATTTATTCTGTTTCGATATTCTGGTCAAACAGTATATATTTTTTTGTCGTTATAAATAAAACTTTTTGAGCTTAAATCAACAGACTACGCCTATGTTTACGAACGGACAAAGAGAACCCCGATTAACGAACCAATTGTTGGGTTTGTAAAATGTTTACCAAAGTCTTAGTAGACATATTTAAATGGCTTGTTTTGCTTCAAAAGCCAAATCAATTCCGTTTACAGTCACAGAAGATTAGTCATCATTTCGGGGAATTTCATATAAATGAATGACACAGTTTTCTGCTGAGTGAGGTAACACTGAGCCCATGACCCACTAATAAAGCCCCTTCCCTTTGAAGTTATGCAAACTGGATATCAGTGGTGATGCTCCTTGGAAAAATCTCACGCAACATTTTGGGACTTTTTCCTTATCCGAACAGAGGGTCTACAGATGGAGGAAGCCCTTGTGTGTCTTTTTTCAAATGCTTTTCTAGGAACTTAACATCAGCGTAACATCGCAGATAAGATTTGAAGCAGCAACTGTTTCATGTTTCAGGCAGAGGGGGATTTTCTTTCTTCCAAATACAACTATAAAAAAGGATGAAGTTGTAAAATGAAGTGTTCGAAAAATAAAGAAATTGCACCCATGAATGTGTGAAAGGATGTCAAAGTCAACTTTAATGTCAATTTTACTCAGTTTGTGTTTACAGATCGAAATGACGTTTCCAACCATTCCAAATATATGTCCAATAACACTTGGGAATATAAACTAGCAATCTCTCTATTTATATTATTTTACAATTAAATTAGTTTAATTCAGAAACTGCTTTGGCTGGGTCGTTGAATGTATACTTATGCTACTTCTAACAATTCAAAATGTAATTCATTTATGAGGTCAAAAGTCCAAACTCCATATTATGAATTACAAGCAACATTGCATATTGTTTTTCAATTGCAAAAAAGTTATTGGCTACTGAGGAAACCTGCTTAAATTCAGCAGAAGATATGATACATAGTTGCTTCAGTCTGCAAGCCCTTGAAGTGGCAAAATGAACATCTATACACATATAGATTTTATTAACAGTATTCTTTTCCTGGGCCACAGTCTACCTGAAATACCAAATTATAAGAAAACACAGAATTAAAGGTGGGGTAGGTAATTTTGGAGAAACCAGCTCGAGCGCGCTAGAATTTGAAAATACACAACCGGAACAAATCTGCCACTTCCTTACAGAGCCCCTCCTCCAACACACACAAACGCGCACATGACCAATGAGGGCACGAGATAAGTTTGTGCACAGATGGAAGGCTGACAGGCAGGTAGGCCATCCAGTTACTTTAGCCGAGCCGGCTAAAATGATTGGTCGTGCTTTTTACAGTACTACGGCTTCCACAGATGAAATTTTTTTATGGATTTTTTGTCAAAGCACTTAAGATATTCATTGCTATCGGGATGTTAAGAGCATTCCATGGAATATAACAAAAAGTGTATCTCGAGCCGGTTTCTCAAACTTACCTACCCCACCTTTAAAGTAGAAGAAAGGTAGAATAAAGTAGAGTATAGTATAGTATATAACTGCATAGCATAGCAGTATTTTCCTACCAGAGACACTTGCAGCAGCCGCACCAGCAGAGGCAGCAGGCGTTGGGTCGGGGCTGTCCGGGGGCCGGGGGGGGGGCCTCGATGTGCGCCGCCTGCCTTTTTCTCATCTCCACTCCACTCACACTGCGGGGCTTCACAATGCACACAGAAAATAAACACCGTTACATACCCTTCAAGTTAATAATAACATAAAAAGATATTATAGTTTCAAATTTGGTTCCCATGTTTCACTTTTGGCTCTCAATATGACTTATTAGAGGGAAAACAAAAAATAAACAATGTGTGATCGGTGTGTGTGTGTGTGTGTGTGTGTGTGTGTGTGTGTGTGTGTGTGTGTGTGTGTGTGTGTGTGTGTGAGAAAAAAAGAGAGATGAAGCGAGAGAGAGAGAGGGATCACTCAAGCAGGACAGAGAGGATTCCCTTCCTTATACGGTACGAGGGTTTCTGACGTCCAGCCAAGTCTTTCACTTGGCTTTGAGGGACACGACGCACATTTCAATGCAGCGGACCCAAACAGAGACACAGGATCTACACATCACATGCACACGGACAAACCTATGCAGTAAACACAGAAACTGATGCACACTCACATCAACCTGCTTTTGCATCAGAGGAGATGAGGATCCTCCCTCTATATAGGCACCCTGTTTCATGGGTTTTCTTTCATGTAGAACCATGTTATTAAACTGCATACATTCTCTTTTTAAGGAGAACAAAAATGCCTGTACGCAGTTACATGACTATCTACCAAATAACTGTAGAGACATTTGAATCAAAACCCCCGATGTTGGCCCCAGAAAAGTCAGGGGATCACTATCCTATCCTATCATCATTAAGTCCTATCATAAGTCATTACGATAACTCATCCGGGGACCATGAGTATGCAAATTACCACATTTTGTGCCAATCCATCTATAGGCCATGGTAATGTCTTCAATTAGCTTGTTTTGTATTAAAACGTTAGACCTAAAAGAGAATAGTTGTTGCTTGAAAAAATACTACAATTCCTTATAAATTATCAAAATATTTGCAGATTAGCTTTTCAGTCAGCGATTAATAGACTGACCTCGCTGTTAACATATTTCATTCCGAGTTATTTTAGGAATATTGTGGAGTTAAGCTGGTCGATGAAAAGTCCATAGAACACATTATATATATTTATTATTGAGTGCAAGACTCAACAAAAAGGGCCAGTTTTGTTTTCAAGCGCTGAAATGGTGGAAGAGTCAAACGGTATTACTATAATTGTATGACTTTCCACCATCAGCTGCTCTTAGACTGTATAATGTTTACAAAAACCTTACATTTGAACAGTTTAACAGGCTTTCATGAGATAGTTCTCCGCTAACACACTGCTCACTATCTAATAAAAGTCACTGGACGATGTGCCTGTCATGCCCCGGGGGTTTCACCTGGTCTTCAGAGAGGCTTTTGAAGGAGTATGAGGAGCAAACAACACTGATGGGCAAACAACCCTTAAGGCTACTCAAAATAAAAATACCACTCTCTAAAAACTGACTCTAATGAGATAATGATACACAATATAGTCTAGTCTGGCAATACTATTGTTCCTCTTCCTCCAAGCAGAACATAATAACACTTGGCTGGCTTTTTACGAGCTAAATTGCCCGGAAAACCCTGATCCAGCTATAACTAAAACCGCTCTGTCACAGACAGTCCAAAAGCCAAAAACAAGAAACACTGTGAAAATCAGACGAAGAAGAAGATGTCGGAAACAATTCATCCTCTGTGACCACATAGAGAAACTCCACTTCACAATTTGGTCATTTAAGCTTAATTTCACCAAGGGAGTGAAAAATGAACCTAATTACTTAATTAATTGAAGTCTTGTTGGCTTGTGAAATGAATGAAAGAGAACTCTTACCTCCAAAGCCATAATTAAAACTCCTTATTAAACAGTGGGCTCCAGTACCAACAGTGGAGTTTTCTATCTCACTTCCTCTACAATGCATACACACATGGGATTCACTCCAATAATGACACAGTGCATGGCAGGTCTAAGGCTAAGACAACCAGCCTGACATGCAAATGTTGTCACCTGACCAGCAGAGTGGTCATCAGTTATTCAGCGACCATGCAGCATCCGTGGAAAACCAGAGTGCTAAATGCAAACGACAGCGAGGGAACGGCGTTGTTGTGAGCGTGTAGAGGGAGGCCGCAATGACAGGACATGCAAATATGGAGTGTAAATACAAATACACCCAGATGAGAGGCGAAAAAAAACATTACAACAAGATCTGCCACAAATGCAAAGGATTTGGAAAGTACTCGGATGACCCCTGCCTTTTTTCGACATTCTATTAATGTAGACATAATTTAGGTGGATTAAGGATGCAATATTTAAGACTAAAATATCAGACATCATATCAACCAAAATCATTTTAATGTATGAAACCAAATGCGCAGCACTACACACAGGCTAAGAAGCGTATTGTATAGTATAAATGATGGCATTGCCTTCTGCTGCTGTGCTCCTGTCGAGCTCCAGTGGGGCGAGTGACTGAGAAAGTAGCACGATCAGAGGCTTGAACCCACCCAAACCTCACAAAATAGCCTAAGAAAAAAATTCTGCTAGGAGAGATTTGTCGACGATGTAGATATTTATGCAATATAGCAAATAATGCATTCTGCGTCGTTATTTGAAAATCAAACGTTTCCTGCAGCTTCACTAAAAGTGTTTTTAACTGGGGCAACACAAGTTGACTTTTTTTTAAAGTAGTCACGGGAAATCCAATGTTTGTCAGTGAGCTTAACACAAACTATAATTCGTCAGACATGCGTCTACAAAACAACAGCTGCAGGTAACACGCTGCTACACACCTCCAACTTCTCAGCGATATAACTACTTTCACAACTACTAATGCTGAGTGAAGCAAAAAATCTGATCATAGTTGCTCACAGAGGCTAATAAGTGTCTGACTTAAATAATAAACTGACAGCAGTTTTGTTGCCTCTAGTATTCCAATACCTGTAGTATTAAACCACATTTGCTGTTTCCCACCAGTGGATAAGGTGTCGCCAAAATCAACAAGTATGGAAACCTGGAACACATTTCCCCTTTGAACAAGCAAGGTGGATCATAGTTGTCTACATGTGGACAGCCATCCATGATCTGACTGAGCAGGACTAATGACAATACAGAATTTGCAATGAGATGTATTTTCATTTGGGAGTATCTTTGCTAGTTTGTGTAAGTCAATAATGCTCTTGTGGAAGTTTTAATATAAGTTTGCTGCTTTTATACTCAGAACCTCATGCAGAGGTGGAAGAAGTACTCAAATCAGATTTGTACTTAAAGGGGACCTATAATGCAAAATGCACTTTTGTACGTCTTTTATACATGAATATGTGTCCCCGGTGTTCCAGGGAACTCACCAAGTGTCAGAAAACACAACCCTCTCTATTTTCCTCCATACCCAAATCTCTAAAAAAGGGGCTGCAACGGATCTGATAAAAACTGATCCAGATTTGAACACTTCACTGACGTCACAGAAGTGGTGCTACGGCTATTGGGCCAACTCTCCACCTATCAGGGGAATGTGGGGTTGGGCCACGGCTGGCCATTGCCGCTCGAAAGCGCTGGAGACGCTGTAGTACATATGCCAGGCCTGTAAGTGGCGCTGTAGTCTGCCACAAAAGCAGCGAAGAAGACTTCCCGCCCATAGTTACCATGGTTACCCTTCTGTTTATTCTCCGCTGTGGCTTTCTTTCTCCCTCCCCGAGGCAAGCGTTTGCTCCCGCTGCTTTAATTCAATGCAATCCCTCCCCGTCGAGGCAAGCACTGTAATTCTCTCCGGTTAGTCCACCAGCAGATGACAAACACCCACCTCTCCGCCTCTTCCAAGGAAAGAGGGGACCGTGCGGCAGAGTTTCAGTTTCAGTTTCTTTCGCCGGTCAAGATGTCCGTTAAAGTTTAAATCTTCCGGACAAAATTAGAAAAGTGCCGGTCAAAGGTCTTCTTTGTTATTTATTGAGCTTTAAAACAAATGAATAACGACTCTATAGGCCTATAATAATATAATAAAACACGGAGGACGGAGATCTTTTTTTCTCCCCCTCTTGACTTGATCAGAGCACGGCTCCCCTCTCCTGCAGGGGGGCTTGGTCAGCTGCAGCTCACAGAATCAGCCCCGTAGACAGCAAACAGCACATAGAGCGAAATGAGGCATGGCTAAAATGCATGATCTGTTTGGTATTTTGAAAACAGAAACGTATAAATATACCTTATATAGGTATGGCCCTACAATATATCATTTAAATATAGCATGATAGGTCCACTTTAAGTGAAAGGAGTGATACCACAACGGACAGAAGTGCAACTTACCATGAATTAGTGATTTTCTGGAAACAGGTGAGACAGCGCAGTCATGGCGTGAGGTAACAGGTTGCTGGATGCTAGCAGGCTGGTTGAAGCAGTGAGGGTCTGGGCGTCTGATTGGCTAACGGATCGGCTGTCTGGCTCGTTGGAGGGGAGGGTCTTTTCACCACAGGGAAGAGAAGTTACTCGTCTCACCATCCCTGAAGACACTGGAGCTGAGGTGAAATGTAACTACTTCCTCTCCTCGTGTCCTGATTTAACTCGCCGTCGCCTCCTAGGCTTCCTCAGATCTCGGTGAAAGGGTCATTTATAGACTCGAGAGTGCAGGGAGCAGCGAAAGTACAGCATCTGAAAAGCACACAGGACAAAGAGTCAGAATCACAACAGAACCATTTGATCCAGCAAGTAAAGGTGCAGAAATGTTTGGTGACAACGATGTGGAGATATATCCACTGCTTGTGCAATGACATAGTGCATACTGTATGATGCAGTGAGAGCAGAAACTACACTACATACTTATCGCTGCATACTAACGATCTTATATTGGTTCTATCAGCTGATATACATTTTTAATACATCAACACTTTTGATAACAATCCCTGAAATGTGTTTTTGACCAGAAATGTTCGTACTCTACTTTAGTTTTGAAAAAAAAGTGTAAATGCTCTCTTGGGACACATGAGGAAACAGCCACACTGTTTAAGGCTAAAACAATTAGCTTATTAATCCATTACCTATCGACTACATTTTAATGTTGTAATAATGTTGGTCATCACATTATAGCATCTAGTGCTATTTTATTTTGATGTTATTGAAAAGGTATTTTCAAAAGGGCATGTTTCCTTTCCATCTTTTTAAATGTAGAAAAATACAATTTAGAGATTTATCAATAATGGCAACAATAATTTGTGACATTCCAATACTTTTATCAAATCTACCTCAACCATAACCTTGGCATTTATGCATTTATTTCCTATGATGCATCTCCCAACATATGCACTGAATACCGATATATCTGTAATAAGCTCAGTGATGTAGTCGAAAAAAGATGAAATAAACTGAATCAGGAAATGCATTATCATCATGATGGAAAAGGCTACCTTTAAAAATAAATCCCTGGGTTTATGTGGGGACTAGGCCTCAGTTTAGACACTCATCATGAATAGATTAGGCCAATCGTTGGTGTCACAACCCGACACTCAATCACAGTCAGATGCCATTAGCGTGATTTTGTCCCTGACGGAAACTGACTAAGAGCCTGAAGGAGACAGAGCAGCTCGGACACTCTCATGCTGCCTGTTTTCATGTTTTTTTACATGAATTACTGTTCAGACAATTTGCTTCCTCATAACATTAGCTCAGAAGTGTTCAGATGTTGACCGCAACACTGGATACTCAGAAACGGGTTTATTGCCAGGTAGGTTCACACGTACGAGGAATTATCTTTTATGTCTTTGTGTTGTGAACTATCAGCAGGCTGTTACATTTAGTGACTCAGATCAGGAAGTTAAGGTCATTGAAGAACAACCAATTATCACCGATAATCACTTATATTACTTATGAAACATTTGTTGTATTTATTTACTACTGTGTTTCTGAATCACCTTAATTGCAAAGTCAAGTCATGTATTTTTCTTTAGTTGTTTTTCCTGAATGTAGATCATTTTTCCTTTCAACAAATAGCAAACTGTTAAACCATTCCTGTAGCGAGGAGCCTCGATAGGTTTGAAAACAAAAGTTCCCCTTGTATATTAGAAGTCTATGATGAGTGATTTTCTTCATATCTGTGTGTAAAGAAAGGATTATGTGTAGTACTTATGAAAGTTCCCAGGAGGAAGATGGCCATTATATGCTTCCAAAAAAAGATGATAATTACCAAAGTGTTGGAAATGTCAACAATGGAACAAGAAAATATGAGGAAAATCCCAGTGTCAATTGATAATGAAAGTAAGTGTTATTTTGCAGACCTAATACAATATTTGACTTATAAGCTATTGAATCATGTTATTGATGATTTACATAAAAGCAGCTTGGCCTCCACATCACAATGATCTATCAAAAAAGAATAAGCCCTATAGCCATTTTAGCTCTATGAGATCAATTAGGATATCACTCGCACTGCATTTAGGGATCATTGAAGTGTTTGAAGTACATACATCAAGTCAAATATATCCACCCTAGAACCACACAACCTCAATAAGTAGATAAGAGAGCTTGTATTGTATAAAACCTCTCTGATGGAAGAGTAAAAGCTGAATGAGAAGATAAATCAGAAAGTGTCAGGATGTAGTAGCTCCCTTCACTCAAAAGGTCAACAACAGCACAACTTTATTGTAAGAAAAACGCGTTGTGGCCTTCATCAGATCAGGGTCATCCTCCTGTGACTCAACACACCCATGGGAGACTGCAGTGTGGGTGCTCCCTCAGCTGGGCACGACACCCTCTCTAGTCAGTGCATGACAGTAAAGGAATAAAAAAGGTTGATAGACACTTAGCTAAATCAACTTTAAAGTGGAGAGAGGTGGATGCATGATGCAGGGAGCTGTCGCAGCACCGTTGCATCTGCCCGAAGGCCCGTGCATATCTTCAGATAACAAGTAGGCTGATCGGACCCTGTGCAGTAGCTCTGCTAGCTGCTGGCTGTTTGCATGGTTCCTCCTGCAGCTGTCCGAAACATCTGAGCCGCTGCAGGTCGGACCAGCCTGGAGAGGAGTTCCCCCTCCCAGCTGACACCTCGGTGCCATAACGCGATTACAGAGAGGGCTGCACGGTGCTCACTGTCGCACCGAACATTTTTCAGGAATCAAACACCACCCACTTTCTCCTCGCTAGCTTTAGCCGACAGATCCGCTATCTCTTTGCAGCGAGAGGAGGAGGTGAAGCAGCAGCTAGCGCCGTGCTAACGTCAGCTAGCCTGCCCGTGTGGAGCTTTTTACGCACAATAATCAGCATCTTACCCCATTTGCGTCCGGCTGTCAGCGTCCTAGGGTGATGGGTGTGAAAACGCGACGTCCCGATGCTTATTTAACGACATCGTAAATGGGAATCCTGCGGTGTAATGTCCATCGCCGCTGTTTTTCTGCCATCCGCCCCACTTCAGCACCGATCGCCGCCGAGCCCCTGGATGCACTGCGCAGGCGCGCTGCTCCGGGGCTGCGGAGCGAGAGGATGCACCGGAGGCTCCACACGTACAGGGGATAATGCACAGAGGGTCACTATTACATCACTGCTGTTGCACAACAACTACAAAACACAGGATATTCTTTATAAAACCGTTGCTGCATTCAGTTTTATTTCAGTATATTTTGGGACAGAAATCCTTGAAATATCTGAAATGATGGAGAGATACACAGTCACTTAGTAATGACCTCAAGAGACAGAGGAAATGCATCCTTAGGTTATAAAACAGTAACATATATATATTTGAAATGCCTCCATGACCCACACACAATGTGTCATGCAATACATGGTGACCTCAGGAATGTAGTGTCACCCTTATCAAATCACAGAATATCTTACATTATTTTATTTATCTTTAAACACAGCCTTCTATTAGTTTTGTGTGTTTCTATAAGGGGCTTATTCAGATAGTGACCATACCACATTTTTGTATACTAATAAAATACTTGTTTGTCTACTTTATGAACAGATACGGTACATCTGAGAAAACATTTTATTTCAGCTGTATTAAGTTTGAGATCTTATAAATGAATATGTGAAATAAGGATGCTACAGAGATGGATTTCAGAAATATTTTCTCTGTTTTCAATTGGCAATCCTTTATTTTAAGTCAAACAGCACGGCCTGTAAATAGGTGTTTGATTGTCATTATTATTATGTTTTTTTTGGAATTCATACTCTAGCGCTGAGGCAGCTATTATAAATCACTACCAATCCTGACACAAGAAAGAAAAATAACTCCGGTTATGACTTCACCCATCCATTAATATATTCATTTGTTGAGTAATCTCTGCTACATATTATCAGAGACCAGACCGTCTTTTTCTGACTCAATATACTATTCTGTAGCTTATGAAGTCATGTATCATCTACTCAGTTGAAGTCTAATGTTTAAGAATACGTCATTAGTGTGAACATTTGAATGAGTGTCTCTCTGGGTTTTGTGTTCGGATGTTTTACTTGCAGCGTGACTCAGAGAGCCTCAGTAGTGATGACTGTTCAAACTAGATTTTCCTACCATTAACACAGGGGGGCACCAAAACTCTGCTCTCTCTCTCTCCCTCACACACACACACACACACACACACACACACACACACACACACACACACACACACACACACACACACACACACACACACACACACACACACACACACACACACACACACACACACACACACACACACACACACACACACAGAGATGTACTGATGCGGCAGTGAAAAATCGTTATGCATGTATGTGACCATTGCGTGAAAGGAAAATGGAAAACACATTATTACCGCTACAGTGGCAATAAGAGGCTTTTATCTGACAGATAACACACTTTGTTGCGCGAGTGCATAGAGAGAGTCATTCTCATGGTTTGGTGTTTATGAAAACTAGGCTAAAGTGTGCATGGACTTCATACTGGAATAGACATATTGAATATTTTTACATAGGCTATTTAGCGTTAGTCCTCCATCTTTATGCATACACTACACTCAGACATGAGGGACTCTACAGAGGGAGGGTGCAGGGGAAAAGGTGGAACATGTTCCCTGACACCATTGGTTCATTGAAAGGGATCTAAAGTGGCTTGGATCAACTCCTTTTTTCTTCATGCACTGAGGACTGTTGCACTGATTTGCATGTGAGAAGGTCAAGACAGTGCTCCGCTTCATTGTGGCTTTCAAACACGCAGCAGGGGTTAGAGAGGGGAGCCTCTATAAACAAGACAACTGCGTGTCAGTGTGTCTAAGGGATGAACATTTAAGTCCAAACATGTCTGTGCATTGTCTGAATTCTAATACTCTGCATGATCAACTAAGCAAAAACTACCCTTTGTATGCAAAGAAATCAAATGTGTGGATGTGGGTATTTGTTTGAAAGACATAAGATCAAAGGGGTTGGACAGTTTATGAAAGGTAATCCATTAGGGCAGCAACTAATTATTATTTTCATTATTAATTGATTTACAGATTGTTTTTTTAATTAAACAATGAATTGGTCTTTAAAATGCCAGAAAATAATAAAAAGAAAAAAAAGGCCATTCAATGTTTTTATGGTGCAAGGGGAAGTTTTGAAATGTCTTGTTAGGTCAGTCCAAAACTTAAGATATACATATAGATATGATATAAAATAGAGCAATATTTCTCCACATTTGAGCAGCTAAAAACTGTTAATAGCATGGTTGGCTAATTATCTTTCTTACCCTGACTTATCAATTAGTGCACTGATCCTTGCAGCTCTAAAACCCCTCTAACAGTTGTTGAGAGATTTCAGTCTGGATTGAAGCACTGGATCGACAGACAGTGGCCTCCCTGGAGCCTCACTGCTGTGTGTCACTTCAATCACATCCCAACCTGCAGACCATAACACCATCTCTGCTCCAAGACACTGTTCGACTGTTATCTTCCAGCCTGGGGTCATTGTGTTTGTGTGATTTCTCAAGTTGAGCTCAGACTGCCTTCTGGGGCTTTCTCTGGCGTTAATTCGGTTCACTGCTGTTGGAATATATGTGTGTGTGAGATACAGCGAGGGAGAGAAGGAGGAGTGATGGACCTACAGCCTGTAGGTATACGTATGGTACCTGTCAGGTTGTCTGAAAGTCTCACAGAGAATGCTTCAGCGCTGAATGCGCGGTTACAAGAGCATAGTTTGGGGAAATCAATAGCTTACAACAACGGCAAGTGTCTGTGAATCTCCTGTGTGTGTGTGTGTGTGTGTGTGTGTGTGTGTGTGTGTGTCATTCTAGGAAATACAATGATTTGAACAGCTTGAGTGCGATTCCACAAACAAAATCAAAGGGCAGTTGATTTTCATCTAGATCAAGAAGAGTCAAAAATAGTATATTGTTATGTCCATTAAAACAACATTTAATAATGAATACACAGTGAGCTTCTAACAGCTGTCTGATCCTTTCCCCAGATGTGTGCATATCTAGCATTTTTAATATGCCACAGAGAAAAAAAAATGAAAAAGAAATGAGATGGCTGTTAAAGATGCAATAGCTATCTCTCTGTCAGAGGCTCCTGTTCAGTAAAGCATTCAGTATTCACTGCCTCCCTTTTCCACTGAGCTGGATTTGAAGCCTGCCCAGACGAGTGTGAAGTCTTTTTGTAGGTGAGAAGGCTAGATAATATAAGGCTTAATAATCCCTGGCTGTCTATGGTCTAGCGGTAAAACTTAATTTTGTATTACGTTGAGAGATTCTGAGCAAGTTTCATCCATTTACGGTTACATAGTCTGCCCTCGGCATTTCAATTTGCAGTATCTCAACAACCTCTCTAAAATCTGCTATCCTGTCTGGGTTGTATACTTAGTCTCTTCTAAATTAGATTTTTACTTACATGACTTTTCAATCAGACCATCGTTGTTCATGAGGAGTTCAGTCCACCAGTATTATGCACTCTGAGTATCAAAACAACCTAAGTTTGTCATACAATTCTGCACATTGTGACGTTCATGTTTACCAGATCGTAAGACAGTAGTGTTCCCTGTCTTCTCCTTCAGATTTAGGTTGACATTTAGGGTCTTGAATGAAATGTCTCAACAACTCTTGGACAGATTGCTTTGACATTTAGTCCTTTTAAAGTCAGTTTTGTTGTTTTCCTTTTTTCACCCACACAAAAAACACAGTTTCTGGGAAAGCAATTCAAGGCTGGACACAAACTCAGAATTGTTGTTCAGGATATTATCTCAGCGGGACAAAGTGACAGCTCAGAAATTGCCCTTTACATTTCAGCACTGCCTCCCACTGAGTCTCATCTTACCTCAGGCCTGACTGATAAAGACTATTAGTCAGAAGCAGGTGCAGTATTACCGCTATTTTATATTTCTATATGATATCAGATTGATGTGATTTGATTTAGATAATATTTTAGATAGAGGTATTTTTACAGTATAACATTGCTTTGTGACACTGCTGTTGCCTTCTCAATCTACTACCTTGTTGGAATAAGACCGTATACATTTACATCACAACTTTATGGATATACTTTTGTATTTACTTTGATTTTTTTTACAAATAATAAAAAGTCCACAGAGCTATGAACACATCCATGCGATGTATTCTCTAAGCAAGAAAGGTATTCTTAATCATGGGGCAAGCATTACTAATGATAAATGAGGTTATTATCAGCTCCTCCAAAGAGTTAGTGTTTTCTATTTGTTTTGTGTGTCTGACAGCAGGATAACGGTGAAAATTAACGGACTGATTTTCATGAAACTTGGTGGAAGGGTAAAGCATAGGACAAGGAAGAACCCATTTCATTTCGGAGTGGATTAGCCTTAGCAGTAATCTGTGCTCTCTAAGTGCCTCTGTAGAAACAGTATGTGGGAGTCTGGGTCCTGACCTGTATAGCTGCTGTTATTACGCCCTACGACACAGAACAGCATGAGAGGATAATTATGGTATTAAGCATGTGAAAAGGTTTATTTATCTGTATATATAAATGTAATATTTGTTCACTTTAAGTAATGTAGTATAATGATAAACCCTATCCACGACGTACTGTAGTATCTCACTGAGAAAGAGAGGAAATAAAAAGGACAGAGCTGCATAAATAATATATCATCTTCAACACCTTTTTCAGATTGGACCAGAGAAACCTTTTCTCACCATCAGTCCTGCTCTTCTTATGTAAAAAAAAGTTGAATGTGAGACATTGAAGCAGCCTGGCAGTCTTCGGGGAGATAGCTTAGTGGGAACAAAGCTCTCCATTTTCACTTAGTGCTGATGCTGAAAGTGAAGCATATTATGAAGGTAATGTTCAAATACACAGTGAAGCACATGGTTAATGATATCATCAAAAAATAACTTCCCAGTACATGCAGTATCAAACGTCTGCACCTCATAATTAGGAAGATGAATGAGTCTCCAAACTATGAAGAATTGTAATGTTGTAATGGCAGTCCTGTTCAATCACAGTCACAGTCTGGTTCACAGG